TGAAGCAACGTCCTCCACAACTAGACTGAAGAACAAAAGGACAGCAACTTGTCTGTTCCCCTTCCCCCAATTCCCCAGCACTGTTCCCATCCCCGCAGTTCCCCAATAAAAATCTTAAAAAAGAAAAGAAAAAAGAAATAGGTTGGTGGACTACAAGTTTTGAAAGTGGGCATTCTAACAAAAATTGCTATCTTTCACTTTTTGTTAATTAGAAACTAACATGATTCTGTCTCTAGATTTCTAGTTTTAAAAAGCTGTGTAATTTTTATATTGGTACATATAGCCTATGTGACATGACATATAGCCTAATTAGAAATTCTAACAAAAGAAATGATATTCCAAATTCACCACTATATATTTGGAGAATTACGTAGAGTTCTAAATAGGAACTGTAGTATCAGGCTTAGATAGAACAATGGGATATATTTCAACTCAACTCTTCAACCTTTAGCTAAGGGAAGGCAGAGTAGACCGCAGGTGATGGTCCATGACAGACAAGTAATATTTGAGTAACCATGATGTAGTAGGTTCTTTACATTGTTATCCTGGTGAGTTTTACAACTTTGAGGTAGGTTTAATTATGTTTATACTATACCTTTATTAAATAGAAATTATTTTCTATTTTATGGATGAGTAAACTGAAACTCAGACAAGCAACTTGTCCCAAGTCCTCAAGGTTATAAATGGCAGAACGAGAACTCCAATTTAGGCCTATGTGAAGCCTACACTTTTGTTACTATCCTGGTTCCCAGGTTTGAAAATACTAGGGATCCAATTTCTATGATTTCTCAAGAACTTCTAGTGCTTTCCACTGTTACTGTCATTCTACTTTATAGGAGCCTCAACTTTGATACTAGAGACACTGCTTTAGCTTTTAGGTTTATTTTATTAGCTCTGTAATTCAGAGGAAACTCCAGGTTGACATTCCTACCATTGTTTTTCTAAACCTAGTTACTTTATTAAAAGTCCACTTGCTTTTTTAAAATCACTTTTTCCCTAACATTATTGAATTTAATTTTGAAGTATCCAAATTTTGTGAGGACTCCCAGGACTACATGATCTCATTTACCTTTGTCCATTTGTTCCTACTTAGCTAACTTCATTAAGTTTAATTTAAAATTTTTGTTATTTTCAAACTGCACTGCTAATGGTTTATCAATCTGCTTAGTACATCTGAGATTCGTACTGGAAGCTGTCAGAGATGTTAAAATCGAAGTTTCATCAAATTTTATTTGGCACAGGATGGCTTAAATTTAATATATGGTCGATTTGTTTATTGAAATTGAATAATTAGCAAACATGATGGTTAAAGTTCATGCAATAAATGCTGATTTGTTTACGGTGGAGAAATCAGATGCTTATTTTAATTCATTACTGTGGGTGGTATTTATCATTTCCATATTCCAGAACTTCATTTTACGACATTAAATTTATTGAACAAAAGAGTTTATCTTAGGTCACTTGGAGTATTTTGAGGTATACGAGTTTTTCTTTTTTTTTAATTCCTAAGATTTGCTTCTAATGATTAAACCGGGTGATGTATTTTCCTGCGTGACAGGCATGCCCAAATGGGCACACTCATTTTGGATAAAAAGAAAACAAGGTCTTCGGGGTTTGAGAGAAACAAAAAGATGAGAAGGGAAAAAAGGAATTTTTTCCAATTCACAAGACAGGGGGAAAAAACGTGTTCAGGGCCCTTAAAAGAAATTACCTTGAATTTACATGTTACAAATACACTCATCCTATGTGAGACGCCAGGCGGGCGGTAGAAATCTTTTTCAGTGCGTTTGTTTTTTTGTAACGTCCATCAGCAAGATCTGTCTTTCACAATACTGGGTGAGGCCTGTTTGTTTCTCCACTCCCATTACCGAAGTTTGGACCAAGTTTAAGAGACCCCAGGCACCTGCGGCTCTGACCGAAACCGGCGAGGAGCCCCGGGGACCACGTCACTTCTCGTCAGCGTTCCGTCTCCCCGTTCCAGACCTTTTTGAGGTGCGGCGTGAACGTCCGGCTTCCGCGCCCCAGAAATCAGAGCCGTTCCGGGGAGGGAGCCCGCACAGACTCTTCGCAAAGGTGCACGTCTGGGAAAGAGGGGCCGGCAGCTCGGCGGCGGAGCCGAGCCTCCTCTTCTCTCAGACGGCAGCCGCTGGGCCGCAGCAGCCGAGGGGCGACATTGGAGGCGGGTCCCGCACCCGGGACCACGGCCACGCATCGGACCGGGCAGCCCGCGCCTCGGCCGGAAGGGGGCGGGGCCTGGGGGGCGGGGCGGCGCGGCGGGCCGCGCGTGCGGGGGGGCGGTTCCTCCCGGGAACCGGGCTGCAGCGAAGTTCCGGCGCGCTCCCCCGCGTCCTGCGTCCTGTGGTCTCGCCCGCCCCCGCTGCCATGTTGGATTGTGCGGCCGCCGCCGCCGCCGCCGCTGCCGCCGGGGAAGGGTTGGAGGAGGAGTTGGGAGTTTAGCGCAGTCGCCCGAGTGCGAGGACAACGACCGTCCGGCCAGAGTCCAGCCGGGCGGGAGTTGGGAGCTTCCCTTGTTCCGCACGGCCCTCTGTCGGCTCCTCCTTTCCGTGGCCTCCTCCTCCTCCCCGCGCCGGAGGAGTTGAGCGAGATGCTGCGCCTCTGACTCCCCTCCTCCCGCCCCTGTCACCGAGAAGGGGGACGAGCGCTCGCCCACTCGCCGGAGGACACGGACCTGGACTCCCAGCCCCGCCGGCGAAACCATGAGCTCCGGCCAGCAGCAGCCGCCGCCGCGGAGGGTCACTAACGTGGGGTCCCTGCTGCTCACCCCGCAGGAGAACGAGTCCCTCTTCACCTTCCTCGGCAAGAAATGTGTGGTCAGTGGTCGAGACCCGCGTCGCCACCACGGACGTTACCTCGCGGGCCTGGGCCGGGAAGTGGGAGTGGGGAAGGAGGCGGGAGCGGCGCGGGGAGGGTCCGGCAGCTGGCCAGGCCTTCTCCCGGCTCCGCACCGGCGCCCTGGCCCAGCTGCCTAGGTGCGGGCAATGCGGGCCCCGGCGGCCGAACGCCGCCACCCGGAGCTGACCGGGAGCAGGGAAGTGTCACCTCCGCGGGCCTGTCTTGGAACCCTGCGTGGCCGGGCCCTCGCCCTTGCTGCTGGTGCAAACTTGACTCTCAGGCCCAAAGGCGATTTCCTTCTTGCACGAGCTGCTGGATCTTACTTAGTAACCCGGCCCCTGCCCTGGCCCTCGCCTCACTTCCTACCGCTTGATCTGGGGGTACCTTCCTTGACAATGCCCAAGGTTTCAGGAGTGGGTAGGTCGGGAGATGAAGCCCAGATATGAATGAAGTGGACCATACGGTGGTTTTCAGTCCCCCTTTAGGAGCTCGGGAGGGAATGATGTCGAGTGCATGGGTTCAAAAGGAGGGCAGGAAATGCTACTGTACCCCATTGCAGAGAACCAGGGTTTACTTCTCCAGCAATCTCGCCCAGGCCTGATTTCTACCCTCCTCCCCACTGATATTTATTTATTTAATTATTTAATTATTTAACTAGCTAGCTAGCTAGCACTGGTAGGAGAAGGTACTGCTCTCCCCACTGCCATGCGCAGGGGAACCGCAATCTGTAGTAGTTCTTGGCCTTTTGGGGCCTGAGAATGATTCTTAGGTTGGTGGTGTGCGGCCTGTTCCGACCCCAGATGGCGGGTTGGGAGCCAGCAGTTTGCTGTGGGAAGGGGAATGTGTGTTGTTGACGGAAGCATTTATTACATTGGCTGCTGGCACTTCTGGGGGTGGGAAGGTTCTGCCCTGTGGTGTAGGCCTTGTCAGGCTGCATCTTACTGCGGTGGCTGGGGGTGAACTGTGGTTGAAACGCTGAGGCCATTTCTCCCCTCTTTGCTTGTTAGCACCTGCAGAGTATGTGCCACTGGAACCCAGGAAACATCTACAGAAATGTCAACAGAGCAGTTTTACAACTTTTCTTAGTAGTTTAAATATGTCAAACCAGGCTACACCTGCTTGTTCTAAGAAATCAGGATTAGACAATTTCTGGAAAGTTACCTGATTAATTGTTAACTTTATAAGAGTCTACCCTTTGTATCCCGTCCCATCCTGTTGGAGATTGAACCATTCGTGACAGGCGATTCAGATGTGTTTCATATTTCAGAAGTTAGACCTTAAAGAACATATTTTGACTTTACTGGTTAGAAGAATTAAATAGGACTGGCTTAAAATCAGAATTTTGGGAAACAACTTTAAAGATATTCAAGTCTCCCCCTCCCCCCCAGCTTTTTTAAACAAATGAGAAAACTGAGCCAGTGAGCCCTAAGTCACACAGCAATTTAGTAATGTAACCAGAACTAGAAAACCAGGACTCCTGATGAGTAGCCTGTGTACTTTCCACTACATCATGTTGTTTGAGAAGGGTATTTTCTTCCTTGTTATTATTTCTAAAAGTTAAAGAAATAATCGCTTGTTGTTGTTCTTTTGTTTGTTTTGTTTTTTTTTACCAAACTCGGATATAGTTAAAAAGTGTAAGATTCTTAAAGCAGCACTAATTTTTGCATATTTTCAATTAAGGAAAATCTCCAGCACTTGGAATGTTAAATTATCTGCGAATGAAAAATAATTAAAATGTTCCTTGTGTATTACATTTGCTATGTAATCTGTGTCAGAAAGGAGGTAGTTTAAGCACTGTTTTACATACCAGACACATTAGCTTTAGGCAGGAAGGACATTACATTTATGACAAGTATACTGACTAATTGCTCTGTGCTTACCTGTACTGTTTACTGGTTTCAATAAATGACAGGTGTGGAAGAGCACTGTGCTAGAGAAAGACAGTGTTGCTTACTGGTTGGTGTAAGTTGGCTGCCAAATAGGCTTTCTGTATTCAGTGCTCAATTTCTTTGTTATCTATTATTTATCAGCTTTACCTTTTGAATTTCTGTCATATAAAACCACATTATTACGTGCTCTTCTGGTATGAAGTTATTGCGAAGATAAACTTTAATATTTGACATCTCCAGTTATTGGAGAGTAAAGTATATTATTTTTTTTGGCACAATCTTTTTTTCTCTTTAATGACTCTGTAGTTTTTGTAGTTAAGACTACTGAAACACAGTTTTATTAAAAAAATCATGCAATAGATATACAGATCAGACCAAATTTGTTAAGCAAGAAGTGTATTCAGAATAGTAGTCATGGTGCCAGCTCTCAAGGAGTTTCATTTCTTCTTTTACTCAACAAATATGTATTCATTAACTAAATGTTGAGGTCAAAACCAGGGCTGATGCCTGCCCTTAGGGAGCTTAGTGTGTTTGAAAAGGAAAACATGTGTAAACTGATGAGTAAGTCAGTTTGAGGTGTTAAGAGGTTGCGTGTTACATTGGAAAATGTCTTTGCTTTGTAGTCAGCAGACCAGGGTTCAAATTCATATGGTCACTTTGGACAAGTTTCTTAAGCTCCTCATCCTAGAGTTGTTTTTCTCATTTCTAAATTAGGGATACTCTCTCTTGGAGGGGCTTGTGTGGATTAGAAGGACTGTATGTAAATAGTAACGGATGCTATTATTTTTATAAAGGTTTAGGAGATCAAAAGAGAGGATGAATAAAAGTTTTTTAGAATGCGCTATACCTGAATATTTAAGATGAGTAGGTACTCCCCCAGGTTGATGAGAGGTATAAAACAGCTTGGAAAGTCAGGGGACCTACTAATAGTATGTTATGGAGCAAGGAGGGTTTCTGCTTGGGTATGCATCGGAATCATGTGGCTAATCCGAATTCCTAGGTAATATTCAGATTCAGTGGGTCTGAAGTGGAACTTGGACATTTCTAGTTTTAGCAGGCTCAACAGAATAACATGTATCACAGTTTGAGGACCACTGCTGATGTCCGATCTTTTCTAATAGGGTAATTCTGAAGCACATTGGAAATGTTATGTTAATAGGTTTCCCTCAGTCTTTGGTGTATGTTCTGTGAGTTGAAGTTAAATTAAGTTAAAACAAGTTCTTCTAGTACAGCATTACTGTAACTCCTCAGGATATGAATGTGTATTTCATAGATGTAGGAGAGATACAGTTGAGGAAGTAATGCGTTAGTAGTGGGGAGCCACCAGATCAGATTGGACTTTTAGAAAGTTGAGGGAGAAAGGTGGGGAGGCACAATAGAAGGTGGATTGAGGATTGTGAGAGTGAAGACAAAGGAGATCAGATATGTTGTTACAGTAGTCGATGTGAAATATGATGAGTGCCTGAATTAAGGCAGTGCTGGTGGGAATTCAAAAACAATTAAAAAGGATTTTGTCCCCCTTAGATAAGGGGGGGGGTGACAGAAGGGAATTGGTATAAAGTCGAGTAATCTCCAGCAGAAGTATGCAGAACTCGCTCATAGATGGAACTATAGTGCCTAGATGTTAACGAGACTAAATTGGTGATTGGTTTCATGGAGGAGGTGAATCTTCAGTAAATCTGTTGTTTTGACAGTTTTTAAACATAGATTTTGTGAAAGCTGAGGTTTCATTTAAAGTTATATGTAATATATAAATATATGTTAAGTACTTTTACATGAAATAGTTTATCTTGCTGGTAGTATTTTCTTAGAGCAATTAAAAAGTTTAATACCGGGGGTGCTAAAAAAGTGTATACACATTTTAAGAGATGTTAACACTTGGGTCAACGTTGCTCAAGTAGTAGTTCACCATAATTAGAAGTGTCTGGATGCTGATGGTAACCACTTTGAGCACCTCTTGTCATTGCAGAAGTCAAACGTGACTTGTATTCATCTTTTGTTATCGGTATATATTAATATAGTCTTCCTTTTTTAAAATGTGTATACATTTTTTTGGCACCCCTGGTACATAGCGTCCTGATAAGAAATTAAGGGCTGGGAAAAATAAAACCTTATATAATAGCCCTGGTCAACCTTCTCTGGTCCAAATGGTTTGGGGTTTGTAATGTTGTTGACTGTTACCCCCCCCCACTCATCTGGTTTGTTTCAAGATTTAGAGATACTTAAGCAATTTTTATTAACCAGCTTTAATCTTCATTTCCTTTAACTCCTTAGCACTTGCTTTAACTTGCTTATATTCTTTAGTTTTTGTTTGTTTGTTTTCTGACCCTATATGTAATTCTGGGAGATTAGACTATATGCATATGTAGTCTTCCTGATAATTTCTATAACATCTAGCATACAGATTGCTGAATACTTGATTGAGAATTATAATTGCTAACTTGTTTATTACTTAGGTGCGCATTCAGCATTTCTCTTACTTGATCAGGTTGTTGAAACCTATTTTTAATGCAGATGGTATCTGGATTTTAGTCTTCATTTATTAGGAAAACAAAAATGTTTAATTCTGCTGCTGAACTAATGTAGGTGGTGGCAGTAACTCCAACAAATACTTTGTTCCTGTTCTAGGTTCTTAAATAGGTTTAGAAGGAGAGCTGCCTAGGGGAAGCATTATCTTGGTGAAGGCCTGAATTAAGGCAGCACTGGTGGGAAGTTAGGGCTGGGAATGTATTACACCTTGAGGAATGAGAAAGGAAAAAAGAGATATTCCAAATCATGGGATTTGGTTTGGGATTTGGAATATACAAAGATGAGAAGGCAACCTTGTCTAGTATAGAGGAAAGAGGTGACTTACAAAAGTGTCATGTATCCTGGACTATAAACTCAGGAAGAGATTTAGAAGAGTCCTGCAGATCTGGGTTATAAATCCTGTTTCTTAGCTCTATAATATAGGAAAATATCTTAACCAATATGCGCTTTAGTGTCTAGATTTGTAAAATGGGCTTAGTCAAGGATTTCAGAAAATAATGCAGTAATGTATGTAAAGCACTTAGAGGGGCTGACATTTATAGTATTCTGGTAGTTTGGAG